AAAGAGATGTACAAAAACTGCAAAGTCATGAAGGTAAAACTTCTTTCTTTGCCTTTGAAGTATAACAAAGTCAGTCTAATGCCTGACTGACAGCAGGGGGCGCTGCAGTTCTGAATGAAACTCTGCCTAAGTGCCTTGGAGCAATGTGATGATGGTAAAGCTGCTGTTGCTGAAATTTTCATTCAGAAATTGCTTTGATTGCTGATTTCATTCAGCTCCTGTCAGATTAAATAGAAAGAACACGGAGTCTGGTGACGACTTTGTTCTTCCTCTTTCCACAACTGAGTGTTGATCACAGTCAGTTCACACACTATTATTAAAGGAACATCTTTTATGGTCTCTAATGCATGACTCCTGTTATTGATTATAGATTATTGATATGTGTGTGTAGCTCTGCCTCCTCAGATCCTGCAGTTCCCTGAGGACATGAAGATTCTGGCGGGGGAGAAAGTGGAGATCCTTTGCAAGTTTTCTGGAGCTCCGCCCATCACCTGCACCTGGCTGAAGTTCAGGAAACCGGTGAGATACACACACAGAGACTAAGGCTGAGGCTATGGTACGTCTAAGTGTTTGTCTAAGCGTCCTCCTGCCTGTCCGGTCTCGGGCTCAGATCCAGGAGGGGTCAGATGACATCTCCATCGAGAGTAACGACAGCAGCAGCAGGCTGACGATCGGCAGCGGGCAGCAGGAGCACTGTGGCTGCTACACCATTGAGCTGAAAAACAGCTACGGCCTCAGACAAGCCGCCCTCAACCTCACCATCGTCGGTGAGACAGCAGCGTCTGCACTTCCTGTTTAATGATTCCTGAAAGAATCAGCTGCAGAAAAAAAAATCATTTATTTTGCAGCTTTAATATTTTCAGCTTGTGTTCATCGTCATCTATCCCCGCCCCTCCTCAGATAAACCCGACCCCCCAGCAAAGGTTCCTGCGGCCTCAGACATCCGTCGGTCCTGCCTGACGCTGTCGTGGTACGGGCCGACCTACGATGGAGGTAGCGCCGTGCAGTCCTATAAACTGGAGATCTGGGACTCCACGGAGCAGCAGTGGAAACACCTGGTGTCCTGCAATAGCACCTCCTACAACGTACAGGTGAGTGTTCTCTCGCAGCACGGCTCAGTTAAAGGACTGTTTTAAGGGTCGGTAAAGTGTCTGTTTGTCTCTAGAACCTCCTCCCAGATCGGCAGTACAAGTTTCGTGTCCGGGCAGAGAACATCTACGGAGTCGGAGAGCCGAGCGCCGAATCTGAACCTGTGACTGTCGGACTGGTGGACACTGATGGTGAGTTGTTCCTTGAGTTCCTTCCTTGAGTTGTTGGTGATGCATGTAGAACTTTCTTGAAGTCCTGATGGTTACAGGGATCATTCATCACACGTCAACACAGCAACTACTTTCTATCTGCCAAACTACGTCTGCCAGACGAATGAGTCTGAACAAGGACGTGTCCATGATGAGAGGCTTGTGGTGGGATGTAAGCATAAACATCTTCCTTAGCCAAGCTCACTGCATGTTTTAAGGAAGCGGTTCAGGATTTCTGAAAGCTTGCTGCTCAGTTTTTTAAATGAATGTTTGATGCTTTGAACACCAGAAATCATTACAGCTCGTGGCTACAGAACTGTGCAGCTCACACCAAAACATCTGGATGGATAAAGCTGTCTTTAACCTGGAGTGATGGAGAACCCCGAGACGAGTTTTCTCTTCATTTGGTTCCAAATGGATGTTATGAAGGGAAACCAGTGGGTACTGGGAACCACTGCTGCTTTGTAGAGATTGGGAAGCTGCTACAAATTCACGTCCAGTGAAACAGACCTGCTGTGCTCAGTTAATCTGAGTTTGTTAATGCCAGAAACACAAGTTTAGGAATCTGATAAATGGGAGGATGAGTCAAATCTCACTGTTAACAACAGAAACATAAATAGTGATGCAGGATGCTTTATAAGTTAAGGTACTTTCCTCATATGACAGGACCGCCTCACTGGTGTAACAAACACCCAGTTTGACAGTTGGTACATGTTACGTTTATATATGTGCATAAATAATCCTGATCTACTGTTTCCAAATGTTCCGGTCATTGGTAGGGTCACTCATCATAGATTTGGAGTTTCTGTTGGTCTAGGTGGTCATGATAATCTCACCCCAGTTCCTGACTTTAGTGGTTGCTGGTTTTAGGCCACTAAAGTCTCGATAGTGCCCTTGAGCTAAGCTTCATAATCATGAGCTGCTGAGGTAGAAGATGAACGAGAGGGTCGTGATTAAAAAAAAACATAACATTTGGTCTGATTTCATCACAAGTCTGCTGCTCCATGATGATTCCTAATGAAAGACCTGGTCCACCACTATCTCCAGCTGTTCACCTGTAACTAAACCAGAACCAACTAAACCAATCAAACTAAACTGCATCTCAGTGATCAGGAATGAACTAACCAGACTAACTGAACTAACTCTGCTTCGTCCAACAGAAAACCAAGAGGAGCCAGAGGAGGAGGATGAAGGTATGACATGACTAACTGTATACCCACACAGATGTTCGTTAACCTTCACACAGCATTCACACATCTTCAGTCCTCCCGTGTCTGTGACCTCTGACCTCTGTGTGTTGCCTGTGTGTCAGACTCAGAGAAAGAGCCGGAGTACAGAGATGTGACCATCAGAACAGACATGAAGGTGAAGGACCTGTACGACGTGGAGGAGAGGCTGGGAACGTAAGTCTGCGCTCACATTTCCCATCATGCACCTTAAGCTCTGTAGACATTCTCACAGTGTTGTGTTTGCATGGAAGGGGGAAGTTCGGTCAGGTCTTCAAGCTGGTGGAGAAGTCTTCAAAGAAGGTTTGGGCCGGAAAGTTCATCAAAGCCTACTCTGCAAAGGAGAAGGACAACGTCCGGCAGGAGATCGGCATCATGAACAGCCTCCATCACCCCAAACTGGTCCAGTGTATCGACGCCTTCGAGGGCAAGTCTGACATCGTCATGGTGCTGGAGATGTAAGTGATCCATCACATCTCCTTACATCACTGCAGCTGGCAGTGAGGAGTCACAGATGAGTTCAGCCTCTGATGGATGGAAGGCAGTAAATGTCTGTTCAGTACATGGATTTAAAACATGACCGGTCTGTAAACGGACTTGAGATGTTTTGGCTTCACAAAGTATCAGAAAATAAGTTTGTGAGCAGACATGAGAGGGATTTGAGGGCAGCTATTTCCTCTGTTGATTTTAGAGCTGATGGAGCAATATACTCTTCTTGTTTTCTCGTAAAACTGTTCAGCTGCTGAAATTTGCAGCTGAACTCTTCCATGAGTGTCTAATTTGTAGTGGCCTTCATAATTTGTCGTAATCACGGGAAACGTTCAGTGTTTATTGCAGAATGTTTCCTCAGATAAACATCTAAATGAAGTAAACAGCGACTATCTGCTGCCATGATCCAAACTGATGGAGCGCAGGAAACGAGACGTTTACCGTCAGGTTTTGTTTTTTATCCGCCCTCTGAGATCTGATAACGTTTTCTCAGCAGCTTCATTACTGCGACAGCCTCGTTACAGAAATATGGTTTTGTCTTCTAACCCTCAAGAAAAGAAAAACATCTTTCATACATGTCCACACGGTGGCGCTGTTAAAGGCTGTAGACCAGGGGAAGGCAACTCCAGGCCTCGAGTGCCGGTGTCCTGCAGGTTTTAGACATCACCCTGTGTCAACACACCTGAATCAAATCATTAGTTCGTTACCAGGCCTCTGGAGAACTTCACGACATCTTGAGGTTATTCAGCCGTTTGAATCAGCTGTGCTGGATCAAGGACATCTAAAACCTGCAGGACACCGGCACTCGAGGCCTGGAGTTGCCCACCCCTGCTGTAGACCGAAAGATCGAGCTTTTGGACCATGTTTAATATCTCTGGATTTAGTTGTTTATTTTTAATGTAAATATATTCAGTTTACTGTGATTAAATAAAGTAAAACTTCTGAGAAATAAATGATGTCAAAGCAAATTTAGATGTGGAGGTGCTTTAGGTTTATTGTAACATCAGTCTGGTTTAGTTCCTCCCAGAAGCAAAGAGAAGACATCAGAGGCTTTCTGTCCACAGTTACAGAGCGGAGCATTAAAACTCTAATATCTTTGCCTGTGGGGTCA